GTGTGATTACGTCAGACAAGGCTACGCAATGCGTGATTACGTCAGACGGGGCTACGCAACGCGTGATTACGTCAGACGGGGCTACGCAATGCGTGATTACGTCAGACGGGGCTACGCAATGTCAGACGAGGCTACGCAACGCGTGATTACGTCAGACGAGGCTACGCAACGCATGATTATGTCAGACGAGGCTACGCAACGCGTGATTACGTCAGACTAGGCTACGCAACTCATGATTATGTCAGACGAGGCTACGCAACGCATGATTATGTCAGGCGAGGCTACGCAACGCGTGATTACGTCAGACGAGGCTACGCAACGCATGATTATGTCAGGCGAGGCTACGCAACGCGTGATTACGTCAGACGAGGCTACGCAATGCTTGATTACGTCAGACGTTGGCGACAAGCTTTGCGGTAGTAAACAGGAAGTGAAACTTGCTAACTATCAGAGGCTAATAATCTCGGGACAATGGAACGATTTTTTCTTGAATGCCTTGCTATTGGGCAAGTTGTAATTATTCTATCTATTCCGCTAATACAGGCTATGTTTAACGCTGCCAGGAGGTATAGGGAAATAAACGCAATGTTAAACTACGCAGCAGAAAGGCACGTGCAACTACGCCGGGACGAGGCAGGAAAGCAGAAACAGCTGAACGCATATTTATGTGAGGTAAATATGTGCTACGTCAGAATTTATTCGCCAAACGTGTTTCCATCTCCCATTTTGCGCATTAGCTACTTTGCGAATCATCCAAAAACCACCTCCAGCGAGCATAATAACTTTTTAGCTAATTGAGGATTTTTTTTTTTCGAATTTTGCTGTTTCCATCTGAATTTTTTCGCATTTTTATTGCTACACCGCTAAATGCGCATCAAAAAGCCTTGATGGAAACACGGTTATGGTGCAACATTGTTGCCATCACTGCCTTTAAATCTCTTCATGTTTTCACTTGATGAAAACAGATTCATTCCTCTGAAGATACAGTGGCTGTTTTATCTCTTCAGTAGCTGGTTTTTGTTAGTTTCTTAATCWATAATCCATCCTTTGGTATATTTTATATGTGCCTGGTTTTATATTAAAGTGTTATCAGGTTTAGGATCTTGAGTCTAATCTTGTTCACACAAGTTTTCTTTCCAACAGAAAGCAGCTTTTTATGAATTAAATGTGTCATTTCAATAAGTCATATAAAATGCACCACCCTTATAAGGGATGTTGATGTGTTTGAAGCATAAAAAGAACATTTCTGTGGGATATCCAGACATTGGTTTTCTGGTCTTTCTTATTTACTTTCTGATGATGAAAAGATGAGAAGAATGCAGCTACAATGCAGCAGCATTCCCCTGCATCCAGCAGACGGTTCTGTTTTCATCCGTCCAGCTCAGTTTGACAGTAGAACTCTGTGGATGTGTTTCAGACAGTTTGGCTGACTGCATGGACCCAGACTGCTGTCTGCAGCCCTCCTGTCAGAACCAGATGTATTGCAAAGGCTCACCAGACCCAGCGGAGGTGCTCAGCCAGTCTCTGTCCTCTTTGGTTCCTCAACAGGTAAGAAGAACATCAATCATGAAGAGTTCAGGTCAAAACTTTGACTCACAATGTGGCAGAAGCAGTTCATTTCTCTGGTCCTGTCCTTTGTTCTCAGGTTGCCAGATATTTCCATCAGCGCATTCACTTTTTGGTTGGACCTGAATCCACCCATGTCATCACTGGAGAGAGTCCGTTTAATAAAAGGTGATCAGAAATAATCAGAAAATCTACAGGGTTGTGGAAGTTTATACAGGTGTTTGAAGAGAGMCTCACCTTCAGGAGGGACACTGTGGTGTTTGTCCTGGTTGTAGAACAGTGGACCTGATCTTTATCCTGGAGGACTATCTGAGGGGGTCATGTAGGCTGTGTTGCCCAAGGTCTTCTATGTAGGTGGTGCAGCGACATTGTGGAGGCTGGGCTTGGTTTTAAGTGGGGTCCATATGGGATCAATCTTGTGCCAGCAGGAACTGAATCTGAATTTCTGAATTTGAAATTTAATGTATTAGTTTGAAAATGAATTTTATTAAATTGAAACTGAATTTAAAGTTTTGTATCTGAATTAATTGTCTATGTTTAAGAAAATGGTAAAGGTCATTTTGTTAAAGAAATATGAAATCTAATAATGTGTTTTCATACGAAATGATAATAAGGATTTGAGGTTGTTTTTTGTTTGAAGATAATTAT